TCCGGCCCCGACCAACCCAGCCCAGTCCAGCTCGTTCCCGTTCGGCCCAGCCTGGCCCGGCCTGAGCACAGCACTCCGGTGGGATGCGAGCTAACGCGGCACCGGCCGACCTCGTGCCGCGAGGAAAAACGGGTCGCCGCACCACCGAGGCGAAAACTGGTCACCGGCGGGCCGCTGCTGACCCAGACCAACCGACCGTTCGCCGGTCACGGCCGACCGCCGGGGCGAGGTTTTGCTCGGCGCGACGGTCAAGGCTGTCGCCGCGGTCAAGGATGCCCGCGTCGGCACACATTGAGGCGGCGCAGATAACAGCCGGACGGTGAACGCTCGACACGGCGGCTACGGCGGCTCAGTCTGAGCGCTCGACACGGTGGCTGCGGCGGCTCAGTCTGAGCGCTCGACACGGTGGCTGCGGCGGCTCAGTCTGAGCGCTCGGCGCGGTGGCCGCAGCGGCTCAGTCTGAGCGCTCGACACGGCGGTTACGGTGGCTCACTCTGAGCGCTCGACACGGCGGTTACGGTGGCTCACTCTGAGCGCTCGGCTTCGAATCTCGGCGCGAGTAACCGGCAGGGAGAAGAGCGTAAACGTGGCCGCCAGTCACATATAGTAAGAAGGCGGCTCCACACACTGCGTGCGAACAACTATGCGTATCGTGCGGGAAGTACATCGAAGTCCGAGGAGGCCATGACGGTGGTGGTCACGAGTTCGCCACGCAGAACTGATCTGCAATAACAACTTACCAATACCTTGCACACGTTGAGCGGGGACAATGTCATTAAGCGCACCACGCGAACATGTTCCCAGTACGGAACAAGAAACCACGCGCGCGAAGAAAACAAAATTTTCCTCCGGCCAGTTTCATGATCGAATGCTGAGCTTGCGTTTTGCACGGCCCCACAATGCGTGCCAAAATGGCAGTAGAGGATTCGCGGGTATCTAAGCAAAGTCCATTCCACGAAATCCATTTTGGGGTGCCTGGACAGTGAAATATGGACTCATAATGTTTACATTATCACAGAATATGAAAACGTAATGCATACAAGGTATCGCCGAGCATTATCTACAATCTGCATGATCAGGAACGAAATGCCTGCCATTAAGGCAGAAAATCGGCTCGCATCGAATGAATTTGTTGAGAAGACCACAATGTCGTCACCTAACAATATAAATAATAAAGACGGCACTGAACTTAACGGTGACATCGGGAGGGCGATGGGCGAGGGCGGAGGGTATTTGGGAACAGCTGCTTCCTAACTTAGGCAAAAGTCTAACCCACTTAACGGTGATTCAGAACTGAGCTTATCCGGTCTCAGGTCGTCAAAAATGGTGTGTTCCACTCATCTCCACTCTCAATTTGATTCAATTTCGTGCCTTGACTGGATAAATCGGAACCTGAACTGAACCCAGCACTAATGGTTGGCGGGGGCAAATGCATCAATTTGCTTTCGGTTGCTTTATTTCAAACCTCTTCAGTCACGTCAACGGAACATATTTGAAATCGCATACACTGTATCCTATTGCTTAAAGGGCACACCCAAGAGCACCATGATCAAACTACGAAGCGTTTGAAAAAGTAAGAATCTAACTAGCGCAATCCAGACGTTAGCCGTGGTACTCCAAAGCGCCATCTATACCGATCACAAGCGCAGCCACAGCGCACTCTATCGGTGGCCATCGACAATGGGAACTCCAGCAGGAGGCCCGCACCCGGCACCTGTACACTACAGACGTCACTGTCTGAACCAACGGCACCGCGGGAGCCACGACAGGGTGCACGTGGCCTCCAGGACACACTACAGCAATATCGACCTGGACCGCCATAGTGACACCGCCAGCCACCGCTACTGGGCCATCCATCGGCGAAGGCCGGTGTTGCTTCGGGTTCCACCGACATGTGTGCGGTCAAGATGGAAATAATCGGCAGTGTCCCGGTGGGAAAAATCACGATGGCATCAACAATCACCACAGCTGTACCAGTTATTCACACATTTTATCAGTTACTCACTTTGATCTCCAGTGGCTGATGACGTTTTTGGGCTTGTTTTATCCTTGGTAGCACAACACACACCTGAAATACAGAAGAATATGTGTTCACTGTTAGAACTGCCACATGGTGGTTATTATAAACAAATGTTATCAAACATGCTTATTACTACATACTTTAATATAAATATAAATGATTTATGTGTCATGCAAGTTTGCTGGATATCCAGATGGCCACAACAAACCATAGTAAAGGACTGCATGCATGACTACATAATTTTCAAAAGGGATCAGGACTCTGGGCTCCATAGGGAATCAGGCAACAACATCTTTGGATCTGAACTTCAGTGGTGTAACTATTCCTGTATGGAGCTAACCATTGTCACAAACAATAGGTGCACTGGGAAACAATTGTGACAGCAATATTCAGTTCAAGGGGAATTTCAAATGTCCATACCCTGCAACAGACACTGGTAGTTTGCAACAGCCACCTTGTATTGTAACATATACATGAAGCTTCCTGATGAAATGTGCCAAAAGGCACCATATCCAGGAAGACAATAAGCTGAAAAGCTCTTAGCTGTGATCAAATCTTATCACCTGCACAGCCATCCTTCCATCTTCACTGTTTGGGATCATTTTAGCCCAACACACTGTGTAATTCATGCTTGTGTGCTTTTGAGAAAGCAAATAAAACTGTTCAGTGATTTTGCTAAGTAGGAACCCCCTCCTTGTGTGTAGGAGGGGCATAGTTCCACAAAATATGTTGAGGATGTTGAGCAATAGCAGCCTTCATACCTGCCCAAAAATGCACCAACAGGTTTCTTTCCAGGTTAGGAACACCTCCGTCTCAAAGCTGATGAGGCTGGACTCAAGGGAGGGGCTGATTCCCCCCCCCAACAGGACAGGAAACTACACATCTTCGGTATAAATAGGTGCATCGCCCTGCAGAAGTCCAAGGAATTTCATCAGAAAGTGAACCGACCACAGTTAGAGGACAGAGCTATCAGTGATGCTGCCCTCGACATTTGTTACACAGACATGCAGACAGATACCTAGCACTCTCACCAGTAACGACAAATGTGCCGATTCTACTTCGGGCCAGTGGGCAGAATACGAACACCCCGGGTATCTTCTAATGGAATGTAACTAGATAAAATCATTCGTGGTTCGAGATGAACCGGTGGCTGAAGTTCTCCGGTAGAAATTTTCGCCAGCTTACTCTTCACTCAACTTTTGTTTGAGTGATAAGTTTCAAAATGTAACTGCTACATTCAGCTAAATAATATTAATTTATCAAGACTAAGCGATTGATTGTGTCCAAAAAAAGTGTTTGAGGCTCTTGTATTCTCCATATTTTTATCTTGAACCTCCTCAAAATATTTTTGTTTGCATCTATCGACATCTGACATTTCCATCAGCTGACTTAAATCCGGGATTATTTGAGGTCAGCAATCGTTTTCGTAAGTCTGTACAAGACAAATATGACGCTCTTAATACAAAACAAGCGTATTACGAAGTGACGGTGGATTGAGCGGCACGTAGGGATTTTTGCCGAGAAATGCGTTGTCTGGACGGTTTCGCCTGGTATACATCGCATTGGATTGAATTCATATCGCCTTGAGTTGGGCGGGCATTGGGATTGTGCTTACATTGGCTGGTGTGGGGCGCTGACACGTAGGTTATGTAAACCGCGGATGATATTGAAGCAGGTTTGGCACACAGCTGATGCTGTTTGGTGTAACGCGCGTGCTTGTCCGTGGTGTAGTGAGAGGTCGCTGACTTGTTCTTTGTCATATTCCACGTAATGGAAGTCCTGTCAGTGCAAATGTTGCGGGGCCGTCATCCATAATTCACTTTGCATTTTGTGTTCAGAGGTCATTTTGTTATTACATAAGTTGTTGGGTGCATATGTGAGGAACGGGCATGTGGATGAGATGGTAGTAAAAAACTGTAGAAAAACCAGGAGAGTGGAGAGGTAGATGATTTGGTTTTTCTGCAACATGCCTTTATTGAAATGGTTATCAGTTCTTGTATTATGCTGGATTGATAGATGATGTAAATCTGTTTGCTTGTCATGTGAAAAGGCAAGACAACCATAGCTGCATGATGCAGTCTGCATAAAACAAACAAACATGCCAACATGATGTTACAGACAGAAGTAATCATGGCTGAAAAAGGATGGTAGACTATGCCATTTGGGGAAGATAGTTAGGTTAATTGTCCCTGACAAATATGATTTACCATCATATTTGGTCTTTTTCTGCAATCTCAACTATTTTTATATAAAAGAGATGCAACAAATGGTACCCTCAATAGAATAATTCAATATTAGGTGCTCCCAAATTTTGATGATTCGCTCTAAATTGGAAGTTGCACCTAGCTACTGCCCCTACAAGATCTTATCAAAGTCAGCCATGGTTCACAGTCAGCTGCTTGGCAGTGGATAAAAAATATTTGGCTGTTTTGAATTTGTCTAGTTTTGTGATCAAACCAGGTTATTTTGGCATGAATGAGGTTCCTATCTCAACCAAAAGGCTGTTTTTAGCATCAGCATTGCTGTTGTTTACCATACAATGTGTGTGGAGCTATTACCTTTGGTTGTTATGTTTATAATGATAAGCTGAAACTTTCTGACCTCCTGCAGCACTAGAAGTACTTTTCTTATCCAATCAAGTAAGTCAACAAGACCACATCTGTGATCAGTACCTGGCAGAAGTTGCAGTTCATCCCTGACTGAGCATACTGAATCGCCCATCATCAAGATGCATATCTGGTGGCTGCATAAGGTCTGCTCTGCCCAAACACTGCCACTCTGCTCCAAATGGCTGCTGGCCAGCTTTGCCGCCAGCTCGCGTCGCCTCTGCACGGCGCTGCCACCGGATGACGACTGGGACCCGCTGGAGGAGCTATGGCCGGAGCCGACGGGGCCCGGCGCCGGCGCTCACCGCCTCCTGCTGCTGCACCCGCAGACCAAGTGGGGCGCCGAGCGGCAACGGCTGGAGCGGGCCGACCTGCTGCTGACTGAGGCGACTGCGCTGGTGCGCTCGCTGCCCGGCTGGCGGGTGGTCGACACGCTCCGGCAGCCGGTGCTGAACGCACGCTCCAAGACGGTGCTGGGCAGCGGCCAGCTGCGCGCGCTGGTCGAGCGGCTGCGCCGGCGGCCGGACGTCACGGCCGTACTGCTGAACGTGGAGCAGCTGAGCGGGCTTCAGCAGGCGGAGCTGGAGGCGGCGCTCGGCCTGCCCGTGCTGGACCGCTACGGCGTCGTGCTGCGCATCTTCCGACAGCACGCGGCCAGCGGCGCGGCGCGCCTGCAGGTGGCGCTGGCGCAGCTGCCGTACCAGCGCTCGCGGCTGCGCGCCGCCGGCCAGCACACGGAGGCGCGCCGTCATCAACTCGACCTGCACGAGCAGCGGCTGCGCGGAGCGCTGCGCCGGCTGCACAGCCACCGCGAACTGCTGCGGGCCTCTCGCCGCGAGCGCCAGGTACCCGTCGTCGGCGTGGTTGGGTACACGAACGCTGGCAAGACATCGTTGATCGGTGCGCTGTCCGAGCGCGGTGACCTGCGCGGCCGTGACCGACTGTTCGCCACGCTAGACGTGACGGCGCACCGGGCGGCGCACGCGCGCCTACGTCACGTGTTCCTCGACACGGTCGGCTTCATGGCGCACCTGCCGGCGGCGCTGCTGGACGGCTTCCGTGCCACGCTGAGCGAGGTGGCCGCCGCCGACGTGGTGCTGCACGTGGTCGACCTAGCACACCCGGACCGCGTCGCGCAGGCGGCGCACGTGCTCGCCACGTTACGCCAGCTGGGCCTGCCACCGGCGCTGCTCGACAGCGCCGTCACAGTCGGGAACAAGGCTGACCTGGTGGCCGAGCGCCCGGACGGCATGCTGTGCGTGTCGGCGACGGCGGGGCTCGGGCTCGCCGAGCTGCGCCATAGCATCGAGAGGGCGCTGGAGGCGGCCACCGGCCGGCGCACGCAGGTGGTGCGCGCGCTCACCGGCGGCGCCACCTACGGCTGGGTGCTCAAGCACTGCGACCTGGTGCGGCAGGAGCCGGACCCGGCCGACCCGCAGCACACGCTGCTCACGGTGGTGTCGAGCCCCGCTCAGCTGGCGCGGCTGCGACGCGCCTTCCCCGGCGTGGCGGTGACGGAGCAGTGACCGCCGCCGGAGCCGACGCCCCCGCTCGCCCCGCTGGCGCGGCGTCGCTTCTCGCTGGCGCGGTGTTGCGTTGCATGGCCTGAGAACCACGCGATGGCCGGATACGAATGGACTGTTGTTCGTGTCCGGACCTCACGGTGCGCGTTTTGGTGGTGGGCCTCGGTCAGACTCGCCCGTCACACCACAGGAATGTGCGAGTGTGGTATGAGCCGTGAGGGTTCACAGGATGCTGCCGTCCAAAGGTAAAACCCGATATGTTCAGTTCTAGCCACGTTGCGTTTTTTTATGTCATCTGATTCGTCTTCTCGTGATGAAGTCGGATACCTAAACCAATAGTTGAGATGTTCAAGACCTTTTTGCTAAAAGGAAGGGCTAAAAGTTTGTGAAAATTTCACCTGATTGTTTAAATAACCGAATTCAGCATGAGTGGGCGGATCAAATGACAAAAAAGGTAAAGTGGCTGAAAATGAACACCAAAAGCAGCAAATGGTTGTTGAAAAAGCACAAGATGGCCACAAATGAACATATGGGATTTTACCTCTCGACGGCGGCTTTGTATGACGTGCACATGTGCAATAAGTGGCGATTGCGTTGCTGTTGTAGCACCTTACTGTAACGGGGCGGACAGAGCCTTTTCCGTCGCTGTTGTAGCACGTTACTGTAGTGGAACGAACAGAGCCTTTTCCGACATGCATTCGGGGTGTCGCCACCCCCACACGAGAGAATAGCTCGAGATGCGTCCGGGGACCGCTCCGCTAGCGTCGAGGTGACCGCTCGTGCTCGTTAAGAACGCACCCCTGCTGAGTGCTGTGACCTTCGGGTCAGAGGCGTCACCAGGTGACCTCCAGGCTGCGCTGGCGTCAGGACATCCATGGCGTGCCCCCCCCCCCCCCTCCTCTCCTGCACCTTCGGGTAGGGGGAGCCGCCAGACGACCTGCAGGCTGGGCTGGCGTCAGGACATCCATGGCGTGCCCCCCCCCCCCCTATCCCGCACCTTCGGGTCAGAGGGCGTCTCCAGATGACCTGCGGGCTGGGCTGGTGTCAGGACATCCGTGCCCCCTCCCCTCCCCCTTCGGCTGTTTCGGGGCCTGCCACGCCCGGTTAATTTGAAGCCTGTTGGAAAGAAATAATCGATTCCCAAACGTCTGCCTTCACTGAAGAATGCCTAGTAACTTGTTCTAGATTTCGGGGCTTGTGGTGGTCGTCGGAGTGATGCTAGGACACTGATTGCTTCCCCGTTTGCGGTAGGGCCTTTCCGCCATGGCTTTGTCTGCGACAGCGCAATGCAGGGTGGAGTGTGTTTTTGAATATCTTTGAAGCTTGCATGTCACGTGCGTTTTCCAAGGCCGGCTAGGCACATGCTTTCGCCTCTTCCACGTTTGCTTTCTCACACCTACATCATATTGTGCTTGTTTTTGAACCGACTGTAACAACATGATTGGAACCGCGCTTAATTCCATCCATCCCGTTTTTAGAACCCGTGTCACAATACCGATCCTGGGAGAGCGAGTCATAGCCTCACCTGGTCTTTATTAAGTTCAATATTTAACACATGTTGGGATAACGAGCCATCATGTACAGTCATGTCTCACCATATGTCTGCAAAAGCAACGCTGGTCGTACCAAGGGCGCACTAACTACTAAGCGTAGTGGTACAAAAGTAACGGAACGATACAAAACGTGTGGCAAACAAAACGCTTACATGAGGATTTGAGGAAAAGACGCGACACCCCAGGCTTACATGCAGTTCGTTGCGGACAATTGCGACACCAGCGGGTTGGAGGGTTGTGGTGGGTAGTGGTATGGAGCGCTAGACTGCTTATCATGGCCTTTCTCGAGACCATGGATAGCGAGCGTCGCTGGAAGAACAGTGCCCAGTCTGGGGCGATGGTCCTGGGCAGCCGAGGGAGCCGACCGACTTCCGGCCGGGCCGCGACCTGATCAGCCGAGGGAGCCGACCGACTCCGGCCGGACCGCGACCTGATCAGCCGAGGAAGCCGACCGACTCCGACCGGGCCGCGACCTGATCAGCCGAGGGAGCCGACCGACTCCGGCCGGACCGCGACCTGATTAGCCGAGGAAGCCGACCGACTCCGGCCGGACCGTGACCTGATCAGCCGAGGAAGCCGACCGACTCCGGCCGGACCGCGACCTGATCAGCCGAGGGAAGCCGACCGACTCCGGCCGGGCCGCGACCTGATTAGCCGAGGGAGCCGACCGACTCCGGCCGGACCGTGACCTGATCAGCCGAGGGAGCCGACCGACTCCGGCCGGGCCGCGACCTGATCAGCCGAGGGAGCCGACCGACTCCGGCCGGGCCGCGACCTGATCAGCCGAGGGAGCCGACCGACTCCGGCCGGACCGCGACCTGAGCAGTCGATAGCCGACCGACTCCGGCCGGGCCGCGACCTGAGCAGTCGATAGCGGACCGACTCCGGCCGGACCGCGACCTGAGCAGCCGAGGAGGGCCGACCGACTCTGGCCGGGCCGCGACCTGAGCAGTCGACAGCGGACTGACTCCGACCGGGCCACGACGCTGTAGACCACGGCATGTGCAGGTGGCTCCCACGCGGTCGGGTCACAACTGAAAGCTGCCTGATCCGACACGAATGGCCGACAGGGATCGCTACGGAGCACAGGGGCAACTGGCCGACCTTTGCCGGGTCACGCGACCCAGCACTGCCACGGTCCCGGCCGACCTCTCGTCAGGTGGTATACCCTAGCCAGCTACTCGTGATGAGTCCTCCGTACCTCATTACACGCGTACAGTATCTAGTCACAGGGAAATCTGCCCTCGAAATGTCTCCACAGATGATGACGTCACAGTGTTCCCTTACAAGCCATCACACCATCATATGTCATGTCCGTCATCATGTCCTCGGGCGGTGAAGTCATTATTTCCTTCTCACTGCCCTCTCGGCAAGCTTCTCGGCCTTCCTCAGCAGCCTTTCCCGCTCCTTCTTCTCCCGCTCCATTTGCTTTCTGTCTCGCTCCAGCTGAAGCTTCAGCTCCTTTATTTTCCGTTTCACCTGCGCAACAGGCAAATGGTGGGTTCACAAGGATCAAAGGTTACCTCGTACCTCGTGATATCCGCCGATTTGCTGCAGCGCGGTACAGTGAGGAATGCGAGAGAGAGAGAGAGAGAGAGAGAGAGAGAGAGAGAGAGAGAGAGAGAGAGAGAGAGAGAGAGAGAGAGAGAGAGAGAGAGAGAGAGAGAGAGAGAGAGAGAGAGAGAGAGAGAGAGAGAGAGAGAGAGAGAGAGAGGAGAGAGAGAGAGAGAGAGAGAGAGAGAGAGAGAGAGAGAGAGAGAGAGAGAGAGAGAGAGAGAGAGAGAGAGAGAGAGAGAGAGAGGAGAGAGAGAGAGAGAGAGTTACACAGCCAAGGCACTGTAAACCTGCAATCGCCTCCCCTAAAAATCATATACACGCTTTGCAAGGAACACGAAACCACAAAAAAACGAATATCTATAGGCCCAGCAATAGCGGCAAGGTCCACACCTGTGCTGCCGAAAACGCGAATCCCGCCAAACGAGTGTGTGGTCTTACACCACCAGTCAGCTCAAACGAGTGTGTGGTAATGCACCACCATTGAGCCCAAACGAGCGTGTGGTAATACACCCCCAGTCAGCCTAAACGAGTGTGTGATAATAGACCACCATTCAGCCCAAACGAGTGTGTGGTAATGCACCACCACTCAGCCCAAACGAATGTGTAATAATACACCACCATTCAGCCCAAAACGAGTGTGTGGTAGTACATCACCGATCAGCCCAACCGAGTGTGCGATAATACGCCACCATTCAGCCCGAACGCGCGCACTCTGTGACAGCGCCGGCGGCCGCACCGGCGGCCCCACCTTGATCTTGTCGTCGCCGTCGACGCCCAGGTGTCGAAGCTGCCTCGAGTCGAGCGTGGTCAGCAGGGCGCCCGTCACGTTCTGCTCCAAGAAGGCGGGCACGAGGTGCTCCAGCCCCAGCGACTGCAGCCACTGGCCCACCTGCCGCGGCGCACCACCGTCTCAGCGCCGCACCCCCTCGACCGACGCACGGGAACACGGCCGAACGCACGCGTCGGCCGAGGCCGTGGTCAGAAGCCAGATGGCTGCTGTCCTCCAGCGATATCAAAATAAAGGCCTTAAGCTGCAGGCTTTTTCAGCACGATTCAGGTCATCATGCTGACGATACTCACCCTCCACTACACCAGGAGACACTTCCAACGACGCTATCTAGGAAGCACTGGCTATATTGCTACTTCGTCAGTATAGCAAAATCTGAATGCAGGCGACATCGTGCTTCGTCAACATAGCCAATAATTCCTTGAGAATATCGTTAACCAATACCTCTTGATATAATGATGGTTGGAATTTTCATAAAGGAACTCTCAGCCCACGGCGCTCCAGTGTCCAGCTTGAGGCTCCAGCTACTGAGCATACATGTCGATTGTATAAAACAGCAAAAACACAAACATTTGAAATCATACATCTCCCGGGAAGCCAAAGGATTTGTCCTGAAGTTATGCAGGACAAATCAAAATCATATGAAACTCCGAAAGAACTACATCAAATGACGCAAAATAGTTCTGAATTGCAGATAATATCACCAGTCCCAGAATCCGGCGCTCTGAATGTGAGCTCAATGTGAGTGTGAACATGAGCTCAACTACACCGTCGGCTCGTCCACTCGTCACTAATCGCGGCACTGACCTGATCCTGGGACCAGCAGTACGGCGCGACGGCCTGCGAGGTCGGTGAAGGACGCCGGCCCTCCGAGCACGGACTGGGGAAGTCTGACTGCGCACCCCCTGCGGCGGGGAAGTCAGACTGCGCGCCAGTCTGGGCCGGGAAGTCCCAGTGTGCCGGTCCCCGTGCAAAGGGGTCAGACGGCATCGCCCGCAAGCCGGGGTCACCTGCCGGAGAGCGAAGAGTGCATGGGCTCCACAAATCACTATGAGGTCGAGGTTTTCCTATATCTTCGACACCTTACCATCGAGCATGGTAGTTCGGCCGTGTTGTAAGTCAGAAGTAAAACGAGTACTTTTAAACGTAATAGCTCAACTGGCCTTTATTGTTTCGAGGAGTTTGGCACACCAAAAACACCGCTTTCCGGCTTAGTAGGTTTAAAAGTGCCGCATGGCTTTTCTGATTAATCTGTCATATATTTTTGCCAGAAACTTTTCGGATGTTTTCGGAATGTCTGGTGGGTAATTTCTCCGAAACACTATCATATAATAATACAGATTATAAATTATCTTAAATGAGCCCTATCCCATCAACTGATCTCATAAACCGCACCACAAGGCAGTTGCTCCCTCTTAGACACATTCGTTTGAGAGCGGGGTGAAATATGGCTGCGGCGAGCTTTTGCACGCAAAACCTCAATGATGGCGTAGTGTTTGCAAACCAAACGCTTACTGAATACTATCAAACGCTTACTATCGCTGATCATACTGAAGAGACCATCAAGGTGAAGCGTTTGTTCTGTTTTTGGCCATTTTCATACCATGAACTGTTTGTTGTATAATCGTGATCTTAAGTCTCAGCCTTGCTGTTAATCATACTCGTCAGAATTGATAAGTTACCGCTTGAAAATTAAGTTTCTGCCGTAATCCATAAAATATCAATACAAATGTTTTGTCAAACTGCATTCCTTTCCAATCGTAATGACATTTAAGATGACTACCCACAGCCTGGCCCCGCTGCGACAGGATCACATCTGCGCCGAGGCGAGCACTTGTTGGCAGTGACATGTGACGGCAAACGGCGAGCATGAGGCAATCGAAAGGGATGAACTATCAAGAGCATCGCGTTTGAACAAAGAATGATCGACCGGAGCCTTTCGCGTCACACTTGAACGAAGCCCGGGAGACCGCAATAGGTTTGACACATTGACATTAGCGTGACCTCAAAACAAAGGTCATAACTAACCAGCAAGGCGGCGCGCGGCGCGTCCACCCTCCTGGCGCCTCTGGCCGGTGGTGACCTGGGTGGACGGGTCGCACGGTCCGGTGGGTCTCCCCTCGACCGACGCCAGATGGGGGTGCCGGGCCGCCGCTGCACCCGCTGCCGAAGCGGAGCACCGAGCGGCGTCAGTGGATGAACACGCATCGCCGCCCGATGCTCGACAGGAGGGAGAGGGCAGGGCTGAAATGGGGTGGGTCGGACAGGGCGACACCCGGGCTGGACTGGATCACTGTAGTAACGGCATCACCGGATCTAAAATAAACCCCTCAGATGGTCGTCGAATCGAAGCCTTCACCGGATCTGAGGTGGGTGCCATCCCCTCAAGCGCTCTCATAGATCGCGCCAAAAAGAGTGCGGTTCCCCGCGACCATCTCCGCTTGCCAGGATGGCGCGGAATGTGGCGGCGACCAGCTAATGAGCGCCGAGAGCTATATATGCGCACACAAATTCAATGCTGGCGTCTTGCGTGCTCAACTTGCAGGTTTGCGTACTTGCCCAAGTATAAAACAATGGTACAAAAAAACGGAACATGCTCTATCCTTTTTCCCATGATCACAAAGTCTCTATTCATTATCGTGTTGCCCACCAGTACACGGCATTCAATCAGTGCTTAAGAGAAAGACGGAGGGGCCCGAGCCAGCCTCTTCGGAAGCCACGCGTCCCGACATTGTCAACGGCGGGCGTCGCTTCCATCAGAAGGCCATGCTGCGGCTGCCACGGACCCCCCCCCCCCCCCTCTCACCTGCGGACGGGGCCCGGCCGGCGGCGCGGCTGGAGGTCTCGTGCCAGCCGTGCGGACAGCAGCCGGCGTGTAGCTGCTCGTCCTGAGAGCCGTCCGCGCTCGGCGGGTCCGCCTCCTGGTCACCGGTCGGCCAGGCGTCCGTCTCACGGTCTTCGTCGCTGCGGGCGTGCCGGAGTGTTAACGCGCGCAGAGGACTCACCTGGGTACCATCGGCACCCCTGCGGACACCGCACGGTAGCTGTATTGTGAGCCTGGAATCATCCTCAGTTCAGTAAAGCGTCGTATAGTTATCGCGCCCGCGAACGTCCGTCGTGTCCACCTCATCCATATAACACCCACTGGTGTTACCAGCGCTGCCTTCTGATCAGCGCAGCATCGCCACCGCTGAAAACCAGTCAGATGTGGACGTCAGAGTCAAGTGGTTTCAGCATAACAATTACTAATGGTTTGTGCTAGGCCTCCCACCACAATGATTGGACTCTGCCATGTTTGCGATAAAACGTCGAAACTCGGTCAGAACTCAAGGGAATAGTCACTATAAATTCCCGAAAAGGCGCACTTACAAGAAAGGATATCAAACACACTAGAAATAAAAAATATCACCAGACCAGCCGACAGAAACTGCCGGAAAAGTATACTCACGCGTCCACCAGAAGGCTTCGCAGCTGCTCCGTGAGCGGAGAATGGCGTGCGTATTGACCGGAGGACCTTGGGCTCGTCTGCACCTGACCCGTTAATTTCGTAGTGACCTGACGGTGGCTGGATGACCTCGGGACAGCCTGCGCCGGATTCTGCGTTCTTGGACTGCGTTGCGGGGGTGGCGGCTCCCGGTAAGGAATCTCTGGCCTGCTACCTGGTAGCGGCTCTGGCATATCGTAGTTCGCCAATCCTGCACGTGGTGGCGCTGCTGCAGATTCGTAAGTCTGTTGCCGGGACGCTCTTGGCTGCGAGGACGACAAAGATCTGAAAATGTGTCGCATAGATAGAGATCTATAAATAAAGATCTGAAAAAGCATGTCTGCACGGTCAGAACTGCATGCTGTGTTCACTGTGTTCCTCAAGTTGCTGTATCATGATCACGAACTACATTCTCGGCAACTCATACTGAACGCGACAAAAAGTGTGGTGTCTTACAATTCCTGCCTTGCCCACTGACCAGGCATGATACCCAATGTTGGGCCCTCCTACTCCTGCCTTTACATCAAAACTGGTAAGTTAGTGTCATGTCGTGATAGAGAGACTTCACATGAAGCCTGATTCCGCCCACAGCATGACTGTTTTCTGGCGTCGCGACTGCTTCCTGGTGCATCAGACACTTGCTATCACTGGACAACGCTCCGCCCGTCGCGCCGGCGGCACACATTGTGCGGCTCCTACGCCCTCTGGTGGAGACCGCGAGGTACTCACGTGGCGGCCGTGGGGAGACTGACGTCTCTGGGCGGCGGCGGCGGCGGCGGCTGCCGTCCGGCGGCGCGGGCCGGCCCGGCCGCCGGGCCGTCCGCGGCAGACTCCGAGTCGCCGGTCTCGTCGCAGCTGAGGTCCTGCGGCCCAGCGGAGCCGGTCCCGGTCACAGGTCTCGCGGACCCCCCTCCCCACGCAGCGGAGGTCAGCGACGGGCTGGCCTTTCCTTTCAGTCACCCGCCTTAGGCCAGGGGTCATGCGCATCAGGTCAGTGGTCAGTGACCTCCCTCCCCGGCGTTCACCTCAGATCGGAAGCCGGTCTTGAAGTCGATCTGGTCAGTTTATCTTTAGTACCATCAAATATCGAGCTTGCGTCGTCAATACCCCATTATCTTTCACCTGCTCATCGCGATGAAAGAATAACCCGATCCTTGTGGATGGGATAATCCATGCAATCCGCGAGAATGCAGGGCTGGGTGGGTGCCGCCCACGGAAAACTGGCGCGCAATCCAGAAAAATGGGGAAATTGACGTACTCTAAAATCTGAGGCCATAAACGGACACCTCCCGGACATCGTCATGGCGAGCAACAGAATGTCAGTCTGGGTACAAAGCCCGGCTTGCTGCGGCCGGCTACTTCGTTGTCGCGCATAGAATCGCATAGTTTATCGGTTTCTTGCACGTGTCCACACATTTCGCTTTGTTGGCACGTTTGCTCGTCGGAGTTAAATAGTTTCGTCTATTCTGTCGTCTTGACTAGGATTAATTTTGGCACCACGCCAACCCCATGCCCTTCATGTACTTTCGAAATATCTGGTAATTATAATTATCTGCAGCTACACATCTCAACGTACCAGCACGTCCCACAGTGCCACGGAGCCCCCAACTGCTTGAAGCATTTGTTGGTTAAATGGTACAACGACGGATTCAATCATAATTTTTCGTCTCACTCGACTTCCCAGCAGTGCTGCAGGAATCTGCCGGCTCGAGGGGTGCAGCAGCAGGCCGACAGCGGTGGAACGCATCCCACTGGCGGACGGAGCGCGACCAGAGGCGACTTGGCTTCACACCTCACGACCAGAGGCGACTTGGCTTCACACCTCACGCTCCGCATTGCTGGGCGCTCAATGCAGATCCCGAGCCAGAGGCGTAGCATGGTATTCAGTATGTGGGAACTCCGGCTGCCTTCCCCATTCTTGAGCTAAAAATGGGCTAAATCCGAGAAAAACTCTGTTTTTCTGTTTTGGGTATCTTTAGCTATTTTCCTCAACATCCCCCTCCGTCATTTTACTTTATGAAAGGGCTCCCCTGTTTTGGGAATGCACTGGAGCACTGCTTGCGGAAAATGGTCGTGCGAGGCAGGAGCAAACAGCAGTGCTGTAATTTTTCACGCGTTTGCACTACCGCGATGTTTCCCTGTCTCGTGTGCGGGCGTGTAAGCTGCTCTTTTTACCTTTTTATTAATTTCATTGCACTTTCAGCCTCGCGTTCAATCGTGGATCACCATGAGAAGGTCCCACACAATAGCGTACGCGGGGTACGAACAACGGGTCAACATTGGTCAACCGCTGACGAATGATGTAACGGAGCGGGAAAGCAAGACCTCCAGTCCGGAAAGCTGCAGCATGGCTTCGACCCAGAAACAATCATCCAGCGCGTGTTTGGCCCCCTCCTCCGCTCGACCACACGGGCGCCGACCGCGTCGGTGTTGGGTGCCAGTGTTCGAACTTCCCCCATCCACTCAACCACAAGGGTGCCGGCCGCGCCAGTGTCCGGTGCCAGTGTTCGACCTCCCCCATCCAATTGACCACAAGGGCGCCGGCCGCGCCAACGTTCGGTGCCAGTGTTCGATCTCCCCTTTTTACTCGACCACACACCACGCTGGCCGCACAACTGACATTTTGCCTGCGGCGGCAGACGGTCAGTAGACGGCGGCCTCCGTGTGGCCCTGACCTTAGCTGCAGTTTGACTGTAGTCTGCTCACCTCGGCGCCAGACAGACAGCGAGCGCTCGCGCTGCAGTCTGACTGTAGTCTGCTCACCTCGGCGCCAGACAGACAGCGAGGGCTCGCGCTGCAGTTTGACTGTAGTCTGCTCACCTCGGCGCCAGACAGACAGCGAGCGCTCGCACTGCAGTCTGACTGTAGTCTGCACACCTCGGCGCCAGTCAGACAGCGAGCGCCCGCACTGCAGTCTGACTGTAGTCTGCACACCTCGGCGCCAGTCAGACAGCGAGCGCCCGCACTGCAGTCTGACTGTAGTCTGCACACCTCGGCGCCAGACAGACAGACAGTGAGCGCTCGGCCGCCGGCTGGACATGCTGCCACCGGCAGCGGCGCCACTCAGCCATGCAGTTCTGCTCGCGCCTCGTCCCGTGCCAACACGCCACACGCGCCAGCTAGCTGTGTATTAGTCCATCTCAACAACCATGCATGAACAGAGATGAGTGTGCGCCGCGCGCGGCGGGCCGGCGGCCGCCAACGCAGGGGGCGGGGCAGGGCGTGCGCAGCGCGCCTCGTCACAGCGGATAGGCTGCCGAGAGTGCGTCTGAGGTAGCTGAAGACCAGGCAAGCTGCTTCACACTGCGCTACACTACCGCTACGAAAGACGACAAAATAAACCACGGTACAAAAACGCCGCCGGCGCCACTGCGCCGGTCGGACTGGCGGCCGCTGCGGGCCCGGGGCCGGCGCGGCGCGGTTATGGCGGGACTCCACACGGCGCGCGTGACGTCACTGGTAGAGGGCGGAAGCTACACGAACACCTGCCTCACCAGGCTGCCGGCGCCGGTGCCGCGGCGCAGGTTGGGCGGTTGCCGCTGCGAGAGGCCACCGCGGCTGGCCAGCTCGGCACGCGAGCGGTGCGCGGAGTTGTCGAGCAGCTCGTGTGGTGGCACGGCCCGGTCCAGCTCCTCCTTCACCTGGAGCACAGCCGGCGAGGGGTCAGGGAAGGGGCACGGACAGGGACACGAGCAGGGGCAGGGGTCAGGGGTCAGGAGTCAAGGAATGGGGTTAGAAGGCAGCGGGAAACCCGTAGGTCGGGGAGATGACACGACAGAGCGTCAGACAGCGGCAGACGGAGGGGAAGCGTGCCCATAGCGTCCCCACTGGGCAGAAGAGAAGCCAGCAGCGGATGAAGGGCAGAGACGAGACAGCAGCACGCGGAGAGCAGAGCATCAGACTGCGACAAACTAAGAGCAGAACAAGATATATCCATAGACACAGGGCAGAATGTCAGGCAAGCGGGGGGATGTGCGTCAGAGAACGGCTGCAGGTACAGGGCAGGGCATCAGAGGCACACAGCTGCAGAAGCTTGATCCGTAGGGGTACTGGGTAAGTGATACTTGGCAATCCTGGACGCTGTCAAATACATACAGCAGCTGCTCGCATTAAGCAAGCAAGGCACCAGTGAACGCGACTTGAGTCCACAGTTTAAGCCAGAGCAGAGTATTTCCACACGATCACGCGCTATGGGGCTACGACCGGTAAACACAGCGGCGGACCGCGGCAGTCAAGGCGTAGAACAACACACATCGAGACAGGCAGACGCCACGCGGGAGGGATAGAGCGCGCCTGGCCGCGAGCGGGCAGCACCGGCACCGGCGGCGCGGCGCCGTGACTGACCCGGTGCTGCGGCGGCCCGTCTGCCGAACTCTCCGTGTCGGACAGCTCGGACGTGTCGAGCCGGTCGGGCCGGGAGCGCGGCGGCGGCGAGGCGCGCCGCGCCGGCGGCCCCCAGCGCGCCAGCGGCGCCGGCAGCTGCACCGCCAGTCCCGCGCCCCGCTGCGTCTCGGCCAGCTGCCGCTCCAGCAGCTGCAGCCGCTCCTGGAGCGCGCGCACGGCGCGGTCGTACTCGCGCTCGCGGCCGGCGTGGTACTCCTCGAGCGAGAGCAGGCCCGCCTCGCGCCGCTGGAACTCGCGGATCAGCCTCTTGGCCTTCTGGTACTTGCGGTCCAGCTGCTCCAGCTGGCGGCGCTGGGCGGCCAGCTGCGTCTGGAAGCCGCTCGACTCGGCGCGTGTCGACTCCAGCGTGCGCTCGTAGCGCTGCAGCTGGCTGAGCGCGTCCGCCAGCTGCATCCGGTCGTCCTCGGACCCGGCCAGCGACGACTCCAGCTCGCTGATCTGCGGCCCAAGCCCGACTGTCACCGCACGCACTACCGGCCGCGACTGACTGACGCACAACGACCCCGGCGACGACTAGGACGACGGAGTGGGTTAAGCGGACGGGGCGGACGAGGAGGACGGGGAGGAAGAGCAGGCCCCGGTGGACGAGGAGGATTCGGCGGACGGGGAGGACTCGGGACGACCGGGTGGGCTCGGCGGACGGGGACGACTCAGCGGATGGAGACGACTCGGCAGATGGGGACTAGGCGGAGGGGAAGACTCGGTGGACGGGGAGAACTCGGCAGACAGGAAAGGTTCGGCGGACGGGGAAGGCTGAGCTGGGCTGGGCTGGGCTGGGCTGGGCTGGGCTGGGCTGGGCTGGGCTGGGCTGGGCTGGGCTGGGCTGGGCTGGGCTGGGCTGGGCTGGGCTGGGCTGGGCTGGGCTGGGCTGAGCTGAGCTGGACAACGTAGGCGTCGGCGGATCACGAGTGGATCACGGCGAGTGGGGAATGGTGGGGTCTCAGGTACAAAGGCATATCAGACTGCGAGCGGTCGGAGCCCTGGAGACCGCCCCTGGCGATACTGGACTCCATGGGTCCTCCTGCCCGCTGGTGCCTTCGACTGCGACGCCACCAGTCTCAAGGCGCATTCGGTGATGATGCTTGTGAACAAGGCTTTGGTACCCTGAGGCCAATTTGAAGAAGAACATTATTGGCGATACGACTATTTCCGTAACAAAACGCAAAGGCGTCCAGCCCACAGGTACGTCAAAAGGGGCAAAAGGTTTCACAGCGGCAATCATTTTCAACCGTCCGCCCACCTTGATGCATACGCCAGTGCGTTTGTTAGCATGGCTTGCTGCGAATGTTGCAAAGCGTTAATGTGCACGAAGCTCAGACCTTTTAGTGATCGTTAGTGATATCTACGCGCAGTGCCATCAGGCAGGCACCGCTTCCGCCGCCGTCACTGCTCGGCGGTCCTTTCAAGCGCGCACCACGTGCAAAACACTCGACGGTTTTGAGGAAAAACGGTACCACATGCTGTAATCAGGGATGCATCGGCAGACCAGGAAAAATAACTAATACTAGAATAAGTCGCACCCACAGCAAAAAGCAGCCCGAGTGCTGAAAATCCGCAAATGGCATGACTTGTGCGGCTTCAACGTGGGGTGTTAGTGGCTTACTTGATGCAAGGAGGAGCGATTTGACTTCGAGCTCCGGAGTCAACGGGGTACAAATAGACTCGGCGTACAGATTTCCTTAGACGTTATTAACCACACACACGCGGTGCTTCCAGTGACCGCGTGCATGTTGGCTCAGTACGGACACCGCAGTGAGCTTAAACGCTCGTGTGCAGGTACGTTAGTTGTCTCTGCACGTCATCCCAGTCATCCAAGCTCGTAGCGCCAAAGGGAAAAAACCGAGGGGAAAACCGTTAGCAAGAGCCTTTTCGGCACGACCGCTCCCGCTGATCAGCCCCCGGATCGACCGTCACTGTCCGATGGACTCATCAGACTGCGCCAAGCGTGTCCGCGGCCCGAACACTGCAGACGGACCAAATTATATGCGAGCGTTGGTGCCCCACACCTCTAAACGCGTCCGGCTGTCAAGAAGCCGCGGACGCGTGTCGGAGCAGGATCGACCGCAGGTGCAGGCGCGTTCAGTGAGCGTCGTTGCGCACGTCAGGGCGATTGCCAGCCGCGATAGACCAGACGGTTTTCTCAGGACTACTCCGAAGCCCGGGTTAGTTCACATCACCAGCGGCAGGCTGTTAATCACACCTGTTAGCCGACCGGTGCAGCTAGTACAAAACACAAGCGTTCATTTCCCGAGGACGGCTGCTACGCGCCGCTTCCACAGCCAGATGTTTGTCAACGCTAAGCGTGTGTTAGTCGAGAGGTTAGTCAGCGACAGGCGTTTGCGTGGGCGCCTAACCGCGGGCTCCTCTTACCCGCACGTTCAGCCTGGCTATCTGCGCCTGAAACCGCAGGTGCTCGTCGAGCGCCTGCAACACAGCGCAGCGTGGCAGCGCGACCGGCGCCCAGCCGCCACAGACGGAGAGACGCAGCGCCACACACACACACACGGCACAGCACGGCACGGCGCGGCACGGCGCGGCACGGCGCGGCACGCGCGGCGCGGCGTGGCGTGGCGCGGCACGGCGCGGCACGGCACGGCACGGCACGGCACGGCGCGGCGCGGCGCGGCGCGGCGCGGCGCGGCATGGCATGGCATGGGCATGGCACGCACGGCGCGGTGCGGTGCGGTGCGGTGCGGCGCGGCGCGGCGCGGCGCGGCACGGCACAGCACAGCACGGCACGGCACGGCACGGCGAGTCAGACGAGTCGCACACAGCACAGCAAGACAGAACACAGCGCCCCCAAAGCCGAACATAGCATGACGCCCATCTGACGGCCGAGGCACTCGGCACGTCACAAGACAACCGAAGCAGTGGGACTCGACTCCACATCCAGCACGCCACAGGACAACCGAAGCAGTGGGACTCGACTCCACATCTAGCACGTCACAGGACAACCGAAGCAGTGGGACTCGACTCCACATCCAGCACGTCACAAGACAACCGAAGCAGTGGGACTCGACTCCACGTCCAGCACGTCACAGGACAACCGGAGCAGAGGGACTCGACTCCACATCTAGCACGTCACAAGACAACCAGAGCAGTGGGACTAGACTTCACATCCAGCACGTCACAGGACAACCGAAGCAGTGGGACTCGACTCCACATCCCGCACGTCATAGGACAACCGGAGCAGAGGGACTCGACTCCACATCTAGCACGTCACAAGACAACCGAAGCAGTGGGACTCGACTACACATCCAGCACGTCATAGGACAACCGGAGCAGTGGGACTCGACTCCACATCCAGCACGTCACAGGACAACCGGAGCAGAGGGACTCGACTCCACATCTAGCACGTCACAAGACAACCGGAGCAGTGGGACTCGACTCCACATCCAGCACGTCATAGAACAACCGATCTGAGGGACTCGACTCCACATCCAGCGCGTCACAGGACAACCGGAGCAGTGGGACTCGACTCCACATCCAGCACGTCACAGGACAACCGGAGCAGAGGGACTCGACTCCACGTCCAGTACGTCACAGGACAACCGAAGCAGAGGGTCCCGACTCGACATCCAGCACGTCACAGGACAACCGGAGCAGAGGGACTCGACTCCACATCCAGCACGTCACAGGACAACCGGAGCAGAGGGACTCGACTCCACATTTAGCACGTCACAAGACAACCGAAGCAGTGGGACTCGACTCCACATCCAGCACGTCATAGAACAACCGGAGCAGAGGGACTTGACTCCACATCCAGCACGTCACAGGGCAACCGGAACAGAGGGACTCGACTCGACATCCAGCATGTCACAGGACAACCAAAGCAGAGGGTCCCGACTCGACATCTAGCACGTCACAGGACACCCGGAGCAGAGGGACTCGACTCCACATCCAGCACGCCACAGGACAACCGGAGCAGTGGGACTCGACTCCACATCCAGCACGTCATAGGACAACCGGAGCAGAGGGACTCGACTCCACGTCCGTACGTCACAGGACAACAGAGGGTCCCGACTCGACATCCAGCACGTCATAGGACAACCGGAGCAGTGGGACTCGACTCCACATCCAGCACGTCACAGGACAACCGGAGCAGAGAGACTCGACTCCACGTCCAGTACGTCACAGGACAACCGAAGCAGAGGGTCCCGACTCGACATCCAGCATGTCATAGGACAACCGGAGCAGTGGGACTCGACTCCACATCCAGCACGTCACAGGACAACCGGAGCAGAGGGACTCGACTCCACGTCCAGTACGTCACAGGACAACCGAAGCAGAGGGTCCCGACTCGACATCCAGCATGTCATAGGACAACCGGAGCAGTGGGACTCGACTCCACATCCAGCACGTCACAGGACACCCGGAGCAGAGGGACTCGACTCCACATCCAGCACGTCACAGGACAACCGGAGCAGAGGGACTCGACTCCACGTCCAGTACGTCACAGGACAACCGAAGCAGAGGGTCCCGACTCGACATCCAGCACGTCATAGGACAACCGGAGCAGAGGGACTCCACATCCAGCACGTTACACGCTGATCAAGCACAGACGCGGATCGTTACGAACATGTCGAAACCAAACACACCGACCACGAACAGCAACGGATTTGGAATGTAATTAAGTGGTGTAGAATACCATACACCGATGCCAGTGACATCTTGAACAATTTCACCGAAAATTATGAAGGGGTGGCTTTAGGATCAGTCCTTCTGGACAACCTCTTTGGAAAGACCTCGACTACAGTACCTGAACACGGAAATAAACTTCTACATTTTCAGCTACAAAAAGTACCTTTCGCCGAAAAATCTGAACATGGCACGCCATACCATAATTACGGTGCCCCGTGATTCGGGACGACGCTGGCAGACCACTGACAAAACCGGCACAACGGGCCAAACGCGGCCTGGTGCAGACCAGTGCCACCGCGTGCCGACGGCGACATCACGGGCCAACGCGCCCAGACACCGGCCGGCGCTCACAAGGACGTCCGCGACGTCACCGTGACGTCATACAGCGGGGGGTGCGGACCGAGCAGACCGGCCGGCGGCCCCGCGGCCCGGCCCGGCCAGGCCCGGCACCAGCACGAGACCGCGCCGACTGCCGCAGCGCGCCGCGTCACGCACCTCCTTGAGGCGGTGCTCGAGGTCAGGGTCCGCCGGCGCCGTCGCCTCGCTGGCCTCCGAGCCGCCCGAGCTGGCCGCGCTCGGCGCCGTGTCCCGTGAGGTCGCCTCCTGCGGACGGGTGGCGACGACCGTCAGTCGGGCCGGCACGACGGGGAGGGGGAGGGGTTGAACACAACAAGCCCTGCGCGCGGATGGCGCGAGAGGGACCTTCATCTGACCTGCTAGATGAGGGTCTTTATCATGCAGCACGACAACTAATTGGGCGTAGGGACTGGTTCCCCTGATACGGTATGTGGGCGACTCCTGACCCGACTCACCCCACCAGTGAGATCTGACCTGGTAGGTGGGCGGGTCGCGGGCAGGCGGCACCTGGCCGGCCTTCAGCTGCTCGAGCATCTGCTTCTGCTGCTCGTAGTCGCGCTGCAGGGCGCGCTGGCGCTCCTCACGCTCGCGGTCCGCTTGCAGCGACTGCCGGATCAGCTGCGCCACCTGGCGGCACAGGGCCCGACGAGGCGTGCGGCTCAGCACCAGCACCAGCACCAGCACCAGCACCAGCACCAGCGACTGACCGGGACTAGCACAGCCGCGTGCACAGAGCTCAGCACCTCAACTGGGCATCAGACAGACACCAGATCCCAGCTCAGCGGCAGCTCAGCAGCCTTAGCTCAGCAACAGCTCAGCTCAGCACCAGTTCAGCACAGTACCCCTGGACACAGCATCAGCTGCTGGAAACATCACTGGCTCTTCACCAGAGTGCCACATCAGCACGCCAGCACAACCAGCTCTGGATCACCATCGTGAACACCAGCATTGTCATGTTGTTCCGTTGGTCAAGACGATGGGCATGCATTGTCATTGGCTGTTTCACTGCGTTCACCAAGATCTGTGCCTCCAAGTTCAAAACGCCTGATTACAAGGTGGCTAATCCCCCTCACTTGGTCAATCCATTACCGACCGCCATCCGTAAAGAATAATTCACTCCATCCAGCTTAACACCGTGCTGACCAGCCAAAGACATTTAATGTCGCACCCACAACCTCTTACCCCTAAGTTCACTCCCCACCCATTCACCCCGCGGCCCGTCTTTCAGCACCTCTTCCGTGTCCAGCCGAGGACAGTACCTGATCAATCCCCCCCCCCCCCCAATCAAAACAAACCGCGAGCTGGGTTTACCCCCACCATCACTCCGAGCCTCCACACCGCCGCTGCTGACCTCCCTGATCTCCCCACTGACCTCCCTGACCCCCCCCCCCCCACTGACCTCGCTGTTCTCGGGGTCCACCTCGCGGCCGATCAAGAAGCGCACGTGTCCGCAAGCATTGCGCAGTACCAAGGCGGCGTACGCCTGCGTCACGCCCACCAGCGACTTGCCGTCCACCTCGATGATCTGGTCGTTAACCTGGGGCCGGGTCACGGGTCACAGCCACGCGCCGCAGCTCCAGCACCTGACGCTCTCCGGCGGTCAACAGTCCACCGGTCACCAACTGCGCCGCAGCTCCAGCACCTGACGCTCTCGGGCGGTCAACAGTCCCCCGGTCACCAACTGCGCCGCAGCTCCAGCACCTGACGCTCTCCGGCGGTCAACAGTCCACCGGTCACCAACTGCGCCGCAGCTCCAGCACCTGACGCCCTCCGGCGGTCAACAGTCCCCCGGTCACCAACTGCGCCGCAGCTCCAGCACCTGACGCTCTCCGGCGGTCAACAGTCCACCGGTCACCAGCCGTGGGCACTGGCTGTGATGTACACTGAACGACACACCACCATGGCCAATGGCTTCCCCGACAAGTCCATACACAGAGGCGCATCCTCGCATTGAAGCGTCTCCATCACGAGTGTGATGCGGATTACGGGCAGACAGCCTGTGACCATACTTTTCACCCTTCTGATGGCTGTCAGTCACACGTTCATAACAGGTCGTTTCAAACAGGCAACGTATTGCGCACATGGCTGCGGCGGACTGGCCGTTTGTGGACGCGGGTGCTAAGGATGAGCCCCCTCCGTGAGCCACCACACACCGCCCCGTGCCAGCATCGCACCTCGATCCTGCCGTCTCGGTGCGCGGCGCCGCCCTCCGTGATGGTCTTGACGAAGATGCCCAGCTTCTCCAGGCCGGCGTCGGCGCCCACGCCCATGCCGATGATGCTGAGACCCAGACCCTCGGCGCCCTTGTCGAACTCCACCTCTGAGACGTTCATCTTCTCCACGCCTGCGGGCAGCGGCGGGGTCACGAGGTCAGCAGAGGTCAGAGTCCGAGGAAGCAAAGGGAGGTCAGGGGTCAGGGGTCAGGGTTAGGGTTAGGGGACGTCGAGGGACAGCGCGCGGTCACACGTCACATCAGAGGTCAGGTGTCAAGGTCAGGCGGCGTCGGCAGGCGCCAGCGCGAGGTCAAGGGTCAGGCATCAGAGAAGGTCGGCGTGCTGCAGGGCACAGACCGACGCAACCGTCTCGTGGCAGGCGACAGCGGCATTTCAGTCCGACAGGAGATGTCAATAATCTGAACTGGTCAGGGGGCAATGCCAAAAGGCCGAGCCTGTCAGCAGACCTCAGCTGGTCAAGGGACAAACGCAGCTGGTCGGCAGGAAGCGTCCACTGGTCTGGATGCGTTAGAACGAGCAAGTGAGAGTTCAGCCAGGCATTGGACAACTCACTCCGCTTCACCCGAGCCACACTCGCAGTGCAAATTGCGCACCGGACCAGAAACACACCAACACCAACAGGCGGATGCTACCAACCGCGTCTCAACCCGAAGGCCACCAGGCCATCGCAACCAGCTGGTGCGGCCCTGCTCGGCCAGAGCTGCGAGCGGCGGCGCGCGGCTGTCGCCACTGCGGCCCCGCACTCACGTCTCTCCAGCTCGTACTCCGCCGAGGCGGCCACCGGGTCGACGTCTTCGTTCTTGCGGTCGTACTCGTCCGGCGTGTACGTGCTGTAGATCTGGGCGCACACAGACGGCGGCCGCTCACACACCCAGCGACAGACGCCGACAGAGGCAGGCTCTGCACACTCCAGGCGAACGCACGGGGACAGAAGCCGCCAGAACCGGACCGTAGCACAACGGGACGCACTTACAACCACGACGAAACACGGCCTCAGCGACAGCACTCACCAGCGAACTGGAAGCGGGTGCACACGAACATAATCCGAGTTTCTTGGTACGTTTTACGCATTACCACGAGCACCGATGGAATTAATCGACAACGGGTAGAGATTAACGCCCTCTTCCTGAGCGAATAACACGGCTGCGCTTAAGCCCCTCGTAGTATGTGACCACACCACCGGCCAATAGCCTCGGCCGGCGCCCGAACACTCACGCCCGCGAACACCCACTGATGGAGCACGACAAACGCCACCTCACGGCCCGGCGACAGCAACACACGCTCACACCAGTCACGTCACGTCACGGAACGTCACGTGACCGCAGCACGCAGCTCGCGCCGGCACCGTACGACGTCACGTGACCTGGGCAGCCGGCGCCCTACCTTGACGGGTGCGCCGCTGAAGCGGAGGCGGGACGGCCGCTTCCAGGCGTCGCCGACGTCATCCTCGTCGTCGTCGTCGTCGGGCAGCGGCGGCCCATCCTCCCAGTGGTGGCCGTCCTCCAGGAAGTGCACGCCGTCCTCCACCGCCACCTGATGGGGAGGGGAGGGAGCGAGGGATGGGGAGGCGGCGACGTCAGGCCACACTGATCAGTCAACAGCTTAAATGGTCACGGAAGCACACGTTAATTCACCAAACCGCTTGAAACAGGCAGACAAGCCATTTTTAACCCCCAGCACTTTCCCCTCCGCCCAAGAACAGAACGCTTACACCTCCACCAATGGGGAGCTAACAATTTCATCGCGTTGCCTCGTGCCTCCCGCTCACCTCTTCGAAATAGGTGACACGGGGTGCGTTGTCGTCATATATCACATCTAGAGTCAGCTCATCGGTGACTAGAAGCTCGTGCCGGACTTGCGGGGTCACATCGGCGCTCGCCGCTGATTGGTCGGACGGCGGCACCGTTGCCTGCGATTGAACGGCAGCCAAAGCCTCCGCCTCCGATTGGTCGGTCGAAGGAGCGGCTTCGACTGCTGATTGGCCCTGCGCCGGCGTCTTCTCCGGCGGCTGGTGCTCGGCGCCGGCGTCTTCCAGCCCGTTCTGCGTCGTCGGACCGGACTGGTAACCAGTCTCGGCCGGCTGCGAGCTGCGGCCCTCTTCCTCTAATAACAGCTTTGATCTGCAGGAGCACCCGTAAAAAAATGTATCACCAACTGCGGCTTAATTGGCGCACAAAACACAGGCAATAACGCGAACACCGAACACATGGACATCACCGCCAGACCCAACGTCCGAACGGGCCGTTCGGATCGGTTATGGCAAGCAACAAAACAACTCCGCGGCTCGCCGCGGCTATAAGCCGACTGGATGCTGACGTGCTGGGATGTGCTCCTCCGCCCCCCCCCCCGCCATGTGGCCCCAGGCGAACGTGCTGCGCAGGCGCGTCCCCCCCCCCCCCTCCCCACTAGCCGGTCTCAGTCCAGAGCTCACAAGCAGCACAAAGCACACGTACGGACGCTGCACGCCCGTACCGATACAAACAGAATACTCCGGGCGACGGGCGGATGCTGCGCACATCACACTGTGCGCGGCATTCGCCCGGGCAACGCGAGCCGGCCAGAGCGACGGAAGCGGCGGCGGCCTGAGCCGAGCTGGGCTGGGCTGGGCTGGGCTGGGCTGGGCTGGGCTGGGCTGGGCTGGGCTGGGCTGGGCTGGGCTTGGGCTGAGCCTGCTGAGCTGGGCCGAGCTGGGTTGGGCCGAGCTAAGCCGGGCCCGGGCCGAGCGGGGCTGGGCCGAGCGGGGCTGGGCCGAGCGGGGCTGGACCGAGCTGGGCTGGGCCGAGCTGAGCTGGACCCAACTGAACCGACCCGAGACGGCCGAGTGCGCGTACCGTAAGCTGAGCAGCTGGTCGGCCTCCTCGGGTGTCATCGACTCGGGCTCGTCGTCGAAGCTGCCGTCCCAGGCGGCCTCCAGCATCACTGGCGACGAGCCGAACTGCGAGCAGGGGACAGACGGCTGTAATGAGGCGAAGACCACAAGCGCTCCCAGGGGAATAATACCGCCGAAGGACAGCAAAAACGGCCATTTGTGGGTTGACGATGAGTGACCTTTCATGGCAATAGGAGTCCTTAGACGGCCCATGCAGGGGGGCTCGGCGATGGGGACGGAGCAGACACAGGAAACAGTACAGCCTGACAGCAGCAAGTTGCCTTACGGTTGTAACTGTCGCGTTTTCTGCCACATCTTTTAGTCCGGGTTTTGAAGAGAACCTAGAGCCCGGAGGGAGAAGTTTGCGCACCCCCCCCCCCCCCCCTCTCGTTAAACCCACCCGCCGACACGGCTCGCCACTCGCCTGGATGTGATCGGTCTGGGCACTGAGCACCGTATCGTCGTAAGGGGCAGTCCTCCAGCTTCTCAGGCAGATCGGGCGAGCCGGGCCGCTCGCCGCGAGACCCCCGCATGTCAGGCGTACAGACCAGGGCCTCGTCCAGCCGCGGGGAGGCCGCCAGGGCCTCGTCCAGCCGCGGGGAGGCCACCAGGGACTCGTCCAGCCGAGGGGAGACTGTCCGGGGCCTCGTCCAGCCGCGAGGAGGCCGCCAGGGACTCAGTCCGGCCGCGGGGAGGCCGCCAGGGACTCGTCCAGCCGCGGAGAGGCCGCCAGGGACTCATCCGGCCGCGGTGAGCCATGAAGCGTTTTGTTTGGCCGCGGCGGTGAAGAAGCACCGACAGGCTCGCCGACCCGTGTGGGTGACGTCGGCGCTCTGACCAGGCGTGGAGAGCCGGTCAGCGCCTCGTCCCATTCTGCGTGACCATCCGAGACTTCTCCCCGCCTCGTGCGAGAGGCCAGGTACCCGCCCAACCGCGAAGCTGCATCCAGGGGCTCCGCCAGCGGTGGCGGAACAGCCGGAGGCTGCTCCGGCCGTGGGGCACCAGCCGGCTGCCCGTCTCGCTGCGGCGAACTAGTCACGCCGTCTGGCAGCCGGGATGAGCCGGCCGGCGCCTCGTCCGGCCGCGGAGCGCCGACGGCCAGGTCGTCGGCCGGCCCGGGGACGGCCACGGGCGATGCCGGGCCGCTGCGGGTCTCCATGACGATGATCTCCTCCTGAATGAACTGGACCCGCTCACTGGGCGACACCGGCAGCCGGCCGGCGGCGTCCATGTCCCGCGACGGCACGCGGTCCAGCGACTCGAGCGAGGCGGAGCTGGAGGCGGGCGTCGGCTCCAGGTCCAGCCGCAGCATGGCCTCGTCGACAGCGCGGCGCACCTGCGGCGAGCCGCCGCGCACAAGCCGCGGCGACACGGCCGGCCGGTCAGACTCCTCGATCGAGTCGACCCGCGGCGGCGGCGGCGGCGGGACGGCCGACCGCGCCCGCTCGGCGGGGAGAGAGCTCGGCGGGAAGGCCGGGGCTGGAGCCGGCGAGGAAAGAGCGGGCGAGGCGGGCGGCGTCAGCAGCGGGGAGGAGGCCGGTGCCACCACGGAGGGCGCCGGGGACGCCGAAGCCGCCCGCACCGGCGATGCAGAGCTCGCCGCTGCGCGAGCCGAGGGAGTCGCCAACACAGGAGACGCCGAAGCTGCCAGTACAGGAGACGCGCCTGTGGCGGAGGCAGCAGACGTGTCCCGCCGCCAGCGGAGGAGACGCGCCGGTAGCCAGCGCTGGGGGAGAGGCGGCACCCGCCGCGGCCGGCAGGGGCGACAGCTGCGGCTTGGGACGCGACACGGTTGGTCGCGGCACCAACTTGTGCGGCGTCGGTTTGTGGCTGCGGTCGACGTACGGCTTCTCCGCCAGGCGGACGGTGACGCGTCCTGCAACGGCGCCAGAGGCGGCGGTCAGCCGAAGCGCGCGGTCAGATGTCAGCCGCCGGCTGAGCCAGCCATGATAACAGCAGGCCCGAGAGGAATGGCGCGGGTGGCACCGGCTGGAAGGGAAGGAGGGCACCCCGGCCGCCAGAGCGAGACAGTGAGAGAGCAAAAGAGAGCAAAACCAAGGGCAAGAAAGAGAGCAAGAGAGAGCAAGAAAGAGAGGTCAAGAGAGAGAAAGAGGGAGAGAAAGAGAGAGAGAAACAAAAAGAAAAGGAAAAAGAGAGAGCGAGAGCGAAGAGCGAGATCGTAGAGTCGAGAGCGAGAGCGAGAGCGAAGAGCGCGAGAGAGCGAGAGAGCGAGAGAGCGAAGAGAGCGAGATGCGATAGACGAGAGAGCGAGAGAGAGAGAGAGCGAGAGAGAGAGAGAGAGAGAGAGAGAGAGAGAGAGAGAGAGAGAGAGAGAGAGAGAGAGAGAGAGAGAGAGAGAGAGAGAGAGAGAGAGAGAGAGCGAGAGAGAGAGAGAGAGAGAGAGAGAGAGAGAGAGAGAGAGACCGGCAGGGAACGGCAGCCCATGACGTGGGGAAGGTCTGGCGTTGAGGTTCATGGTAGCGCTTTAATTGGGTTGGAACGTGTGAAGTGTCTGGGTGCGGTGTAGCTTGGTGTGTACCAGCGGTGATACGCCTCAGACATGAACTTGACCACAGGACATTCATAATGCACCATAGGCTATTCAGCTTTCTATCTAGTGATCAAACATGAATCTAGCGTTTACTGGCCGTTACACATGTCACGCCGTAATCGTCTGCATAGGCTCGTTGTCTGCGTTGTCTGACAACGCGTGTTGTTGATTCTAAACATCTATGTGGGTAAACTGGCGGGTTCACAGATACAAACACACTACACACTAATGCCGTTCCCCATTGAAATCCCTTAGTTACTGAGCATTTCTCTTGAGGACGCAATCATCCAACTATGGCGCGTTGATATTGTTCCTTAATCGGCACTGGACACGTCCCTCCCCAGCAGCGGGCTCGCCGTCGCATACCTGCGGCGGCGGGCGCGGCAGCAGCAGCAGCAGCGGCGGCGGCGGCGGCCGGGCCCCTCTGGCGCGCGCCGTCCGCCGGACCCCCCTCTGGTGACAGCGAGCTCCGCTCCGAGCGTCGGCCGCTGCCGCTGAAGTGCGCCATCCAGTTGCGCTGCCGGTTGACCAGCTCGCGGTTGGTAAGGTAGCGCGGCTCGGCGCCGGCCGACAGATCGTCCGTGCAGCTGGGGCCGCGGCTGGGCACCTCGTCCAAGCCCCGCCGGCTCACGCTCTCGGCAGCGTCCGCCTGCTTCGCCGATACGTCCACTCGCTTCGCCGGCGCCGGCGCGTCCGCCACGTCCGTCGCCACCTCCGCACACTTTGCACTGACCACGCCGGAGCCGCGGCTCGACGGCGCAACGTCCTGGCGCCGCGACGCCGGCGGCGGCGGCGGCGGCGGCTCGCTGTCCAGCAGGCTGTCCACGGACGCCTTGCGCGCGCCGACGCCGTTGAGGCGCCGCGGCTCGGGCGTCGGCGACGGCGAGCGCGACCCGAGCCGAGACGCCGCCGACGCCGAGCGCGACGCGGCGCCGCCCAGCGAGGCCGAGCGTGAGCGCTCCTGCGCGCTCTTGGCGCTTTGACGGCGCTCGATGGGCGCGCCGCCGCCGGCCGCGCGCCGCTCGGCCATACTCTCGAAGAGGGCACGCGCGCTGTTGAAGCGCGCCACGTGGCTCTCGGTGCGCACGACGGCTACGTCGCGCTCGACGCTCTTCTCGCGGCTCTTCTGCGGCGAGGGGTGGCGCGCGCGCGCGCCGACCGGCTGCGGCCGGCCCTGCTGGAACAGGTGCGCCATCTGGGTGACGGTACGTGCCGGCGCGGTACGCTGCTCGGTGCGCGACCCCTGGCAGCCAGAGAGGAGAGAACAGCGTCAGAAGTGAGCGGCGGCGGCAGGGGCAGGTCGGCCGCCGCCAGCTGGGCACCGCTGGAACACAGCCCGAGGAGCCACTAACTGACCACTGGCATCATACGGATGCACAGGATCCGCGCGCCAGCCAAGACATCAGGGTCACGCGGCAGAGCCAGACACCAGGGCCACACACCAGTCAGACATGGCCAGACACAAGGGTCACATACTGGAGTTAGACAGAAAGGTACACAACAATGCCATACGGTTGACCGGCACCCCACACACATACCAGACAACTGGGTCGCGGGTGTCCGGCCGCAGACTCCAAGGTCAGCTGACGGCCCAACAGCATTCGACTCACAGACACTAGGGCAGGTCGCCAATAGAAATGCCCCGTAAAACGCCGGCCGTGTGGACTGATCAAGGACGTTTCCATGTACCGCACAGGGCCAGTCGGCACACTGTTTCGAAATACATTAGCACAAACTGGCCACTTGACGCGCCTTTCAAAACGACACGTGCAATTTAACCCATTGGTTCATTACTTCCATGCATTTCAGCACCGTCTAATGCCGAAACCACGTGGACTTGCAGCCAGCGGAGTACAGTTTAGCGCAGGGACAAGCAATCTCCAACCACTACGGACCACCTCCAACGGCGTTCTCAAAAGCCGGCGCAACAACTGCTCTTGCCGCTCCCACTCGTCGACACCGGTCCATTGCCAACCTCCGAGCGGCACCTCCAGCCCTCAAGCCGATCAATACCCGCCTGCCAGTCCGCCCCAGCCACCTCCGCGGCGGCCCGGGCCGCGCGGCTGCGGCTGCGGCTGCGGCTGCGGCTGTGGCCCCAGCCCCGGCGAGCCCAGCGGAACGTCGCGGGGCCGGCGACCCCGAGGCCGCCAGCGCCGCCAGCTGCTGCCGCGCGCTACCAGCCGCCATCCGGTCCATCGCACGGCTCACAGGCCTGGCCAGCTCGACGGCAGCGGGCGGCCGGACACACCGCCAGACGGCGGCCGCTGTGGGAGCGGCGGGAGTGGCCCAAGCGGCGTGGGGGCGGGAGCCGCTTCCCGCCCTCCCCCAGCGGCGATACGCCGCCGGTCGCCGGAGGGCGCTCAGCGAGACGGCACGGCGACGACCGGCGACAGCGGCGGCAACGAGCCAGTCGGGGGAGCGCCGGGCAGATCGGTCCCGCCTTTTCCAGACAGCATCCGCCGTCGATGCCCGTCTCCCACAGGACGGCATGTGGGCGCGAAATGGCCATCGCAGACGGGACAAACCCCAATAACCGACAAACCGCCTGTTGCTGAGCATTTCCAGCTCCGTTCCTCACATGCTCGCACCCGTCTCCGACAGACAGACGCCGCCTCCGCCGTCTCAGTCCTCCAGCCGAGCACTACCCCAGATAATGTTATTCGTCTCGTGGTGTGTTTCCCACACCACACACAGTACACCCGCGCGGCATGCGCGGCCTCGGGCCAGCGGTAAACAGCCAGTCCCGGTGCCGCGGCACGGCGCACACACAGTGTGCTAACGAGCTGGCCCGTCCACGAGATGGGCAGCGCACGCGCCGCCCGGCGTAGCAGGCGGTCAACGAGCGGTCAGTGGCGCTGCGCCGGAGCTCCATACTGCCTTCCGACCGCTCTGTTCAGGAGGGCAGTGTTGCGCCTAGACCCCAACTGTACCCCAGGCCCCGTCCAGACTTGACTAACACCGGTTCCACGGACCCCGCCCAGCTCTGACCCACACGGGTCCCATGGGCCCCGCCCAGTCCTGACCCACACCAGCCCCACGGACCCTGCCCCAAAACCGGTCCCACGGGCCCTGTCCCCACATCGGTACCGTAAGGCCTGGCAAGCTCTAATCCACACCGGTCACGTGGATCCTACCCAGTCCTGAGCCACACCGGTCTGGTGGCTCCTGCCAAGCCCCACCAGTCCGGTGGCTCCTGGCCAGCCCTGAGCCACGCCGGTCTGGTGGCTCCTGCCAACCCACACCAGTCTGGTGGCTCCCTGAGCCACACCGGTCTGGTGGCTCCTGGCCAGCCGCGGTCCACACCGGTCTGGTGGCTCCTGGCCAGCCGCGGTCCACACCGGTCTGGTGTCTCCTGACCAGCCGCGGTCCACACCGGTCTGGTGGCTCCTGGCCAGCCGCGGTCCACACCGGTCTGGTGGCCCCTGGCCAGCCGCGGTCCGTGCCATCGGCCGGCCTGCGGCGGCCCGACTGATCTCCTCCCGCGACGGCGGCGGCATCGATTTCCGGCGGGGCCAGCGGGCGTGAGGCGCGGCACGATCCCAGAGGTAACGCCCACAGCGCCGGCGACGCCGACGAAACGAAGACACCACCGCCGCCGCCGCCGCCGCCGCCGCCGCCCGCGCGCCGCCGCAAGCGAGCCTGGCGAAGGGAGCTGTTGCGCGGGCCTACATTCATCAACCCGTTTGCACGTTTCCCATTCTCCCTGGAAAGTTGTAAAGCCGCCCCATCGCCAGAACAACTTCCACTCTGCTCT